CTCGATATTATTTCTTATAACTGCATGTGAATCTGCAATTGTCTTAAAGAAAAAAGCAAAAAAGATAAGGAAGCCTAGTGTAGGTCATGCCACAAGATTACATTTTTCATCTTGGAAACAGGTGGACTTTGATGCTCCCTTGGGCTACAAAGAACCTGAGAGACAAGTCCAGCATGAGGAGTCAACAGTAAGTTGTTTCTCCAGCGTCTTTTCTGCCTGCCACACACTCTGCCCTGTTTTCCAAAGACGCTGCTGTGAGAGTGTGCGCATGTGGGGCCCGTGTTTGGCCTCTGCTGATGCAGTACCTCCCTTGCCATCCCTCCGGCCCGTGCTCTGCTGGAGCGGTGTCGGTGTCCTAGCTGTGAGCATATGGGGACAGCAGTAGAAGTGGGAGGCGCCAGGGAAAAGCTGGGCCTCGCCTGCTGAGAAGTTCACTTGTTTTTTCTCCCTGCCAGGATAGCGAAGCGGACCATGGCGGCTATGCTGGGGAGCTGGGCTTCCGTGTGAGTAGCAGGCACACCTTTACTTCCTCTCGTCCCGTGTGCTATCTGCCCCTGTGAGCCAGGCGTCCACTTCAAGCCCTTCTCTGTGACACTGTATTGGACATCAGCAGGGCTCTAACCTCTCGGTATACATTGACACTTATCACTGTGTCAGTAACCGAGCCTTTTTATATCCACTTTCTCCATCAATCCTCCCAGCAGCTGGAAAGCAGCCCCAACTTTATATTTTCCCAAAAATTGCTAATGTACCAAAATGTTGAACTATGCAGTGTACAATGAAAACACATGTACTGTTCACTTAGATCCACTCATTGTTACCCATCATTGCTTTATCTCTCTAAAAACATGTCCTCCTTTTTGGAAATAAGTTGGAAACACAACCCTCCACTGCCACAGGCTTGGCTTCCTGAAAAACAGGTGTTGGCCTTAATGTGCAGGGAATTGGGGTGCTGGGAGACAGGTGGGAGACTGGACAGGTGAAGAAATGGAGCTGCAATGTGTTTTACAACAGAGGCCTTGCCCCACCACACACACATATCACTACCACTCACACACACACACGCACACACAGAGAAGTGGGAACTGCGTTGGCCCTGCAGAGGCTGGAGGCTTTTCAGGTATTTTCAGCCTGTCGTTGGCTTTGAGTTATCCCTGGGCAAAGGCATAGCCTTTGGCTAAGAGGTTCTCTTCAGCTTAGGCAGGACCTCAGTGGGGCACTGTTTGCTGCCAGTACTCCAGCAACTGGGGGAGTGAATGCTTAGTCCTGAGAGGGTTCTGTGTGGCTCCCCTGCATTCAGCCTTAAGCAAATAGCAGGCTGCTCTCTTGAATTAGCCACACAGACACTCCCGTTGCCTGTCTAGGCCTTCTCCGGCTCCGGGAATAGACTGGACGGAAAGAAGAAAGGGGTGGAGCCCAGCCCCTCCCCGATCAAGCCCGGAGACATTAAGAGGTAGGCCCCTGACTCTCCTCCCGCAGAGGCTTTGTCTTCTGTTAGGGTGGTCTGGGCCAGACCCTCAGATAGGGCAGCCTTGCTCCTACTCTGAGACAAAGCCTGGGTCGGCAAGGCTGTCGGGGTGAATTGGCTCTTCTTTGTGGGGGCTGTACACCATGTCCCTGGTGGGGGATGGTGTGTCCAGGGAAGTCTATCAGTGCCTCCCTGCCCCTCTTGAGGACCACTGCATGCCAGCCTACCTTGTCTCTTCAGTTCTACCTCCACCTGCTCCCAAGGGCCTTCTTGAGATGTGCCCCTGATGACCTCTTTCTCCTACTGCAGACCATCCTGGTGCCTGTTCAGTAATCTGCCTGTTTTCTCGTGTTGTGACATTCAATAATTGATGAAGTTCCATTATCTCAGTTCCCTAGAACAGAGACTGGGGCTGCCTCACTTTAGTTGTTTCTGTTGTTTGGTCATGGCTCTGTGTGGCAGGTTTCCTCCTCTGGGCTGCCACGGTGATGGCAGGGATGACATGCCAGCTGTCTGCTGTGTGTTAGGACAGATAGATGATGCTGGAAATGGGATTTGTGTGACCTAATCTTGTAAGTAGCACAGTGACTAAGGCACTTGGCTGCTAACCAGAAGGCCGGCGGTTCAAACCCAGCAGCAGCTCCTCGGAAGGAAGGCTGGGCATTCCTATTTCTGTAGTGATACTGCCTTGGAAACCCAAGGAGGGGTCGCTGTGAGTCGGGGCCGACTCGATGGCACATAACAACAACAACAACAATGATCTTGTAAGCAGTGAATGAGTTGCAGCCCATCCGGGAGGATCTGTGAAAGAGGTAGGACAGGGACAGTGAGGGCCTCTCACACCTGCCGACGAGCCCTGATGCAGGCCAGGCCCAGAGTCTGCAGACCCTGCCCAGGACAGTGCTGATGCTGAATGAGGGAACCAGGGACCTGGATTGTGCCTGCCTCCCGCCTGGAAGGGCACTGGGACACCCGAGGGCTGGCCACAGTGAGGGGGCCGCTTCTTGATTGTCAAAATGACTTCTATTCTTTTTTTTCCCTGAAACTGATATTTCTCCTCCTCTTTCCTTTTTACAGAGGAATTCCCAATTATGAATTTAAACTTGGTAAAATCACTTTCATTAGGAATTCACGTCCACAGGTCAAGAAGATTGAAGAGGTGAGTTTCTTTCATTGGCAATGAGAGATCTCATTTGCTAGTGATGCCTGGGGAGTTCTCACCGTTCTCACAAACGGATCTCCTGGTGGCATAGTGGGTAAAGCATTAGGCTGCTAACCAGATAGTTGGTGCTCTGTGGGAAGGTGAGGCAGTCTACTTCTGTAAAGATTTATAGCCTTAGGAATCTTTACAGCCTTGGAACCCAGTGGGGTCACTATGAGTCAGAATCAATTCAGTGGCAGTGGGTTCTTTTTTTTTTCTGGCTGTTCTGGTCTCCGACTTCTAGAGGCTGTGTGGGGTGTGTGCGGGCTCCAGGGCTCCTCAGTGTCCTAAGGTGGACTCTAGGCTGTGCTACCAGAGAGAGCTGGGTGCCCTGGGTGGGTCTCATTCATCTTACGGAGAACTGTGCTGTGAAGTGTTTGAGCACTTCACAGAACACCAGCTTCCGGTCAGTCTCTGTGGGCAACGCCTTCTAGCTGAGTGGGTGGCTGACGGAGACGAGTTGGGGAGGGCTGAGCATATGGCAGAAACCCATGTTTTGAGACTGAGGCCAGCCAGACATCAAGCTCATTCTTTGTGTGGGGGCAGGTGTCAGACAGGTGTCCGGGGAGTAGGGGAGTCTGCTCCTAGTTTGTGGTTGAGAGACTGGCTTCAGTGGTTTGAGTAGCTTTTCCAAGATCCCAAAGGCAACAGGAAGTGGCAGGCAGTCTGTGCCCAGCTTCAGGTGTTGTCTGCTTCTTGTTGCCACAGCCCTGATGTCACCCACTGCTGGTGATCTGAGGGATGGAGCAGATGTTCATAGAGCCCTTGTTAGGTGCTGGTGCCATCTCATTGGATGCTCAGAATGCAGCCTGCAGGGGGAGCAGGAGGAGCCAGCAGAGGGCAAATTCGGCCTGGTGGAGACTTGGTCCAGGGGGTGGGAACTTGCTTCATAAAATCCACCACACCCCGCACAGCTTGCCCACTTCAGCCAGCAGCCATGGGTGGAGCAGTCACATGTGTGTTCATAGAACACCAACATTTCTGATCCTTTGCTGTCCTAGTTCTTTTTTCCAAAGGAGTAGACTCTTGGGGATCTAAGAGTAGAGTAAATGTGCTGTGAGCCTGTCGGGATGGGCCACCACGTGGGACCAGTCACCAACCAGTCCCTAGCTGCAGTGTCATCGCTGGCCCTTCCTGTCCACTAAACTCCTCCCCTCGGGCATTTGGGACTGTTTGCAAGAGCACACTCCATCCCTACTCACAGCCACTGCTAGCCTTACCATCCTGCAAATTGACACTGTGTTGGGGACCTGCACCAGGGCCAGTTGGGCAAACATGATCTGGGCAGCAGCCCTCAATCTCCGACTCCTCTTTAAGGCCCTGTCCTGGCCTTTGTCACCTACAGACCCCATCTTGCTGAGGCCAGAGCATAACTCGGTGTGAGGCACCCTCCTAACTGACTGGTACTGGCTGACTGGTGTAGATTTACAGAAGGAAGTGGTGAGGATGGCAGGCACAGTTGACTCTGTTTTCTCCACACATGAATATTTAAGAATAAATGTATGGTTAAAGATGGGATTGAAGACACACACTGCTCTCCTCCATCCTGAAAATCCACTAAAGAGATGGTCGGTGGCAATAAGATATTACAGACAGTGGGAGAGGAGGCAGCTGCAACAAAATGTAGGCCACCCCAGAGCAGAAGGCCAAGTGGGATGTGACTTAATAGACTGTGGAAAGATAAATCCTAAGCTGGCTGTGGGGAAAGAAAAAAAGCCATTTGGTTTACATTGTAGAGCTCTCAAAAGGCACCCCTGGAAAGGGAGTCTTCAGATAAGATGTGTGCTAAAGAGCAGTTACATCTGTAACACTCCTGCCTGACCTTGCCATGCTGGAGGCTCACCTTCTGGAAAAGGAATAATGGAAGGCCTCTAGACTTGGACCATCAGGCACAGTGGCTAGCAGGACTGAACTCGAAGTGTGAACATGTCACAGCCTGCATGCTGAGTGTTGATGACCTTGGTGTTTTTCCTCACTTGGCTCCTAGACACTGCAGCCAAATGTGTTTGTGGCATTGGGAGGCTGGAGGAGCTTTTGGGGGACAGTGTGATAGGCCGTGGGAAGACCCCAAGTTCTTCATAAAGCAGGTTCCCCTTGAAAATATTCCAGCCCAAGGAAATTTTCTTTGCTGGTTACCAGGGGTGGGAGGGGAGGGGAGGGAACACTGTTAGGTAGAAATAAGTATTGATTTGGGTGAAGAGAAGGGCAATATACCAAATGTGAGTGATCAACATGGTGGCATTGAAGAAGAGGAAGATGGAAAGAGTTACGGGAGGTGCAGGCAACAAGGATGAACCCTTTTGCACATGCAGTACTGCGTTGTCAGTGAAGGCAAACATAGGTATATGGGTGGATAGATGGGTGGGCAGGCTGAACTATTAGGTATGTCTGTGCACCAGGGAGTGTACCCAAGATCATGTATAGGGTTTGCAGACATTGGTTTTACAAGTGTATTTGTATGTTCTCTATGAGTTCCCAGGGGTATAGTAGAGCTGGTAAGGGACAAAGTTGTAGTCACTTCTTGGTCACAGCCTGCTACCCAGAGGGAGCGAATAGTTGAACCTGTGGACTCGGGACCATAGTCTCAGGGAACATCAAGCTCAGTTGGCATAATATACTACACAAAACATTGTTCCACTTCCTACTTTGGCAAGTAGTGACTGGGATCTTAAAAGCTTGCAAGCTGCCATCTAGATGTAACGATGGGTCTCTCCTCGTCCAGAGCAAAGAAGATGAAGAAAACCAAAGATTCCTGGAAACAGTTAGTCCTCATGACTGGTACACCGTGTGATCCTCAGTGTGTATGACTGTGAGA